TAAATCTATGCTTTTTCAGTTTAAAACCATTACCCCTTGTCCTACTGCAACAGGCACTGCTAAAAAGTTTGTCCCCTTCTTTTTATAAGCCCCCTTCAAGTACTGAAAGGCAGCAATAATGTCTACCTGGAGCCTCCTCTTCTCCAGGCTGAACAACCCCAACTCTCTCAGCCTTTCCCCATAGGAGCGGTGCTTCATCCATTTGATCTCTGGACCCGCTCCAACAGGTCCGTGTCTTTCCTGTGCTGAAGGCTCCAGAGCTGGATGCAGGACTCCAGGTGGTGTCTCACCAGAGCGGAGCAGAGGGGCAGAAGCACCTCCATCGACCTGCTGGCCACCCTTCTTTTGACGCAGCCCAGGATATGGTTGTCTTTCTGGGCTGCGAGCGCACATTGCCGGCTCATGTCCAATTTTTCATTCGCCCGTACCCGCAAGTCCTTATCCTCAGGTATGCTCTCAATCCCTTGATCACCTAGCCTGTACTGACACTAAATGTTGCCTCAGCCCAGGTGCAGGACCCTGTACTTAGCCTTGTTGAATTTCATGAGGTTCACACGGGTCCACTTTTGAGCTTGTCCAGGTCCCTCTGGATGGCGTGCCGTCCCTCAGGCATGTGAACCACACCAGTCAGCTTGGTGTTGTCTGCAAACTTGCTGAGGGTGCACACGATCCTGCTGTCTGTGTCACTGATAAAGATATTAAACAGTACTGGTGCCAACACAGACCCCTAAGGGACACCACTTGTCACCGATTTCCATCTGGATATTGAGCTGTTGAACGCTATCCTCTGGATGTAAACCAGTTCCTCATCCACCAAACAGTCTGTCCATCGAATCCATATCTGTCCAATTTAGAGAGAACAATGTTGTGGGGGACCATGTCAGAGGCCTTACAGAAGTCCAAATAGATGATATCTGTAGCTTTTACCTTGTCCATTGGTGTAGTCACTTCATCATAGATGGCCGCTAGGTTGGTCAGGCAGGACTTGCCCTTGGTGAAGCCATGCTGACTGTCTCAAATCCCCTCCCTGTCCCCCATGTGCCTTAGCAGAGCTTCTAGGAGGATCTGTTCCATGAGAGAGACGTGGATGTTGTCTACCTCGACTTCAGCAAGGCTTTCGACACAGTCTCCCATGATATCCTCCTAGGGAAGCTCAGGAAGTGTGGGCTGGATGAGTGGTCGGTGAAGTGGA